GGTTTGTATCGCAGTGAAGCAGACGTGATGAAATTCTAAACGTGGAGTAGTCACATTATCTCATACCAAAATATTGAAGTTTCTAACCAAAGAATTTGTGGACTCACCGACAGTTACAGTATACTCCTAGAGGATCAGAAATACATCACGATACATTTCTTGTCCATTGAGTTTTGCAGAGTCTACCAAGGACTGGCAGTCGCTATCTGTAAAGCCATTTATGCTGCGACATGCTGGATAAGAAGGTCAGGGAAGTGAGGTGCGACCACACAAATGTTGAAGGAAAAATATATTTTGAGTAATCTGCAAAGATCACAGTATGAAGAAGGATATGGAAGAACAATGTCCAATGATATAATCCCAAGAGATCATACAATAGGACATTGACCAATCAGGATATTCATAGAGTATCGTACGACACTGAGTAATATGCCATTGGCCAGTACACACAGCCACAGATCATTGTGTTAGATACTGTGGTATTACTCATCTATGTAAGTAGACAGAGGCTGTAGATACCAGAGGTCCTAGACCCAGTATATGGGGTCTTTACCCACATGTATATATACCAGGTAGCTACATCACAATCTAAAGTGACTTCTCCACTGAGAGACTCAATTCCTTAACTGGGAGTCTTGTAGCCTTGCCCACTAAGTCCTCACTGCATAGTGTCAAGCTTGTGCCTGCTGCTGGTAGCACACAGCTTCTTTGTGAACAAAAGCCTTGACAAACATGGACAAATTGTCTCACCACAATGCAGACAACATGTTTTGTTAATGTTTCAGAAGCGCACATAGTTGACACTGAAGTCCAAGATAGCCTCTTGAGATGGCTGGATAGTACCACATACATGAGGCAAATATTTTTTGGCCACCTTCAGGAACATGTTTCAGTACAATGAATTGAATTGTGATTCGTGACTGAGTCACTGACCTGTCAAAACAACACCTGTGTAATGTGACTTCGATGATCAGCTTGGTTTTAAGCTAGCCTCAATATGCAGCGGTAGGATGAGCATATACATGAAGTACTTTGGTTTCTTATGATATGAAAATTTACACGTGTTTGAACCACAGCTGATGTACATATCTGGCTTGGCGATGAACGAGCATGCCTTAGTTATAGCATGCCCACGTGCTCATCGCTTGCTCAGTCTGCACACCAGTCCCGATGCCCCTTGGATTCAGGTCAGCCTCTGTTTTGTGCACACTCCATGCAAGCACCTCGCTCAGCTTTTCTTCAGTGCTCTGCATGCTGTGGCTGTGCTGCTTTGTCAGACTGCCAGCCTGTCTTGCTCAGTATTCGCTCGGTCTGCCATCGATGCCCTGCTCTGCCCTCACCTCACTGGTAGGCCCGCCCTCGTGTAGTGCCCGCCCTCGTGTAGTGCCCACCCCCTGCACCTGGTGTCTTGTATCACCACAGCGGCACCTCATGGTCAACCTTCTGGTGCTCACCCTCCTGCTCTCAACCTCCTGACTTCACCTCTGCCTGGTCGCACCTGTCCCTCAGCTGCCCTGCAGCCTTCACACCTCAGCGACCTGCCTCAGCTCTCAGCCCTTGACCTGCCATCTGGATCACTCACCAGCCAGCATCCTGGTCCCCTAGCAGGAGCCTCATAGTTGGTGGTTTCACATCGATTGTGGTGAGTGCCCCTTGGTCAATGGTTATTAGTTTATGTTAACTTTCCCAGCCAGCCCGCTGCATGGCCAGGAGTTCAGAAGTCACCCGCTCTCTAGAAGATGGCTCCACCAGGTCAAACTGATGGCTCGTTGATGCGTCCGTGGAGCTCCTGGCCTCATGCTACTCCAACACTAATCTGGGGTCCACTGTGTGGGGTGTATGCAGGGGACGACTTTGGCGAGGGTTTGCTGCGAGCCGGTTTAGTGACTTGAAGCTACTGGCAATAGGGATGGGTAATGGGTTGGTAATGGACTGGGGTAGTGTGCAGGTGCGGCCAACAATCGCAGGATCAGCAAATGACGGTGTGGGCAGCCAATATTGAGCCTTGGGAAAGGAACTAGGGTTGTGTGGGAAGGAAAGGCTGTATTTGAAAGGAGCTCCAAGCATAGGACCGTCGAACTTGATCGCAAATGTGTTTTGGTTGCAGCGAGGTGGAGCGGAGCTGATCGTATATGGGATGCTGATCGGAGGATGGCGGGGAAGCTCAATTAAGTCCGATGTGCGAAGATCCTTGGGCCAACTACTATATTTGGGATGAAACCCATGGTCTAAGGCTAGAAATGGCCCGAAGCTGATCGCAAATGCGATATTGTCGCAAGAAGGCAGGTCGGACCTGATCGTATATGCATTTCTGATCGGAGGGCGTCGGAGCACCGGTGGCTAAGCCAATGGGAGCGAGGCCTCAGACAGGTTCTGAGGAGTCCTGGGAACGTAGGGCTGAAAGGGGTAACTGAGTGACGTTGCGTGGGAGTGTGATGGAATATCTTTGATTGCTAGGTGGGCTGGGCCTGATGATGTAATGATGACGAAGTGTGCTGTGATTGATGCTGGGACTTAGCTGAAACTGCGAGAATGCACCTAGTGACCGTAGCTAAGGCAATAGAAAAGAGCTGCTGGGTGAGAGATGAAGTGCTGAGACGTAGGCTGTGGGCTAGGAGACTCGAGCTCCTCCCAATTCGATTGTTTTGGTATGTACATGTGGTAGGCTTATATACCGCCCTAGCAGGCCACTGCCAAGAGTTTGCCTGCTTGAGTGATTAAACTAGGTATGGTAAAAGAAAGACTGAAACGAGTAAGATATTAGCTGAAACTTGCAACATAATTGTGTTCCTGTTTGAGATACCAGACCAGACCATTAACATGTATCAAAACACATTTCACCCATGCTGACTTGGCTGGGCAGTCTTCGCGCATCTTTGCCATGATGGCGGTCCCTTGCCCCGGTCTTCTGGGTGCCTACTGCCTGATGCCGTTGCTACCGCTAAGTCCACCGAGCCTTCTTGCATTCAGAAGCATCGGCGTAGCTTCAGGATGGCCAAGCCTTCCCACGACGCTTCATTTCTGCTGCCTCATGGTGAATGACTCCCACGGTGGCAATAGCATGGACTGGCTCGTTGCCTTGCCGGCCTAACTTTGCCAAAATTGAGGTCATTCTCGTGCTTCTGTCAGTTAGCCGCTCTCGCCACGCATCATCGTCCCATTATAGCTGTGCCCTATTATATACACGCACACTACTACTCTCCCACGCTGGTGGCACAGGTTGCATCGGGGCCTCTCACATCTGTGCTCTGCACCCAGATTCCAACAAAGAATGCAGATACCAGATCGGACATTGAAATACACTGTTACGAGTGTACGAGCCTAAGGCATGCCCTACATGGCACTGTTAGTGTCCACTTTATTGGGCAGTATTAACAAAATGGAGATTATACATTGACGCTGCAGAAGCCATGCCTATGGAGCACAATATCAGGATAAGTGAATCGGCATGTAGATCAATGCAATGATGTGCAATGAGGACCTCATCTCACAGAGATGCACAGGCTCCTCCCCATCTCGCTTTCAGAAGTTTGGAGGGGCCCCATCCTAGGGAGGGTACATAGTGCCACATCCTAGATCGATCATTTACATGCTCGATCATGATGTGATCACTAATTTCAAACTCCCCACTCTTATTCTCCTTCAACTCTCTACAGGGGCTGGGAGAAAACATGTGAATTTAACGGAGGTCAGTGGCTTGCCTTCCTCAGTTGGCAGTCAGCAAGGCCAGAAAACAGATTATTGATAGGTGCCTGTAATAAATTTCTGGCAATTCTAACATTCATTGATAACAGTGGTACAAGAGTCCTGCTATGGCAAGACATCAATAAATGGCACTCAACAGCGTGATTCAATGGTGAGGATTTCTGTGGCTATCTAGAACAGTGCAGATCATTGAGGGTAACACCATGGTTGAGTCCGGAGCTGTGAGATGTGAGAGGCTCTCTTTTGCATTTTTAACTCCTGGTGTCATGTTTTTGATTGCAGCATTGAAGTTGTCATAGACAAACCTTACAAGGCATGCCTCTGCCAGTGTGCAGATATCAGAAGCACTCTCCTTTGAGGGTAGATGGGCTGAGCATATTTGCACAATGCAATAGATGTAATACTTGATTCCTGATTAGGTCGGTACAAAATCTAGCACTCAGAGAGCACCAACTACTACTTTGGGGCAGCTTGCATCCAGCCTCCATTATTTACACATGTTTTCTCCCAGCCGCTGTAGGGAGTTGGAGGGGAATAAGAGTGCGGAGTTTAACATTGGCTGAGTCTGACAATTGTGGCTGAAATGTGGCTGAGGTGGCGGGATGAAGCACAATGTCCCACCCATAGGATGGGGCCCCCCAAAACTCCCGAAAGCGAGATGGGGAGGAGCCTGGGAGACGCGGCGGAAAGAACTCGTGATTCAGGGCTTCCGAGGTATAACGATAACAGCAGCGGAATAATAGCCATCGGATCACTCACACACGGATTCTCCTCTCTCTAATTGGCTGACAATTAGCACCTTAAAGTTGATTGTCCCCTGTAAGAGGAGGTACTTAGGTACTTGAGAGGTCAACAAGAAATACCACGGAGAAGTCGTTCCGGAGAGCAATCGGAGTCCCTCATTCGATGCCGGAAAGTCCAGTCCACCGGCTATTCGTACGTGCAGTCCATCGTGGAAGCTTGGGAAGGTGAACGCGGCCACGTATGTCCGCGAAGAAGTGAGAAGCGATGCTTGGATTGTCAGTGAGCTCGACTCCAAACGCATGACTTAGAGCCAGTCGTGAGATTAGCGCTTAGCGCTCATCAGCGGCCAACTCAATCGTACCACATAACCATGCTGTATTCATCCTGCACACGGAATGATGTGGAAAATGCATCGAACAAATCATGGCCTATCTAATTAATGAATCCTCCTGGATGATACACAATAGACGAACACTTTCTTATACTTTCCTTGGGGTATATCCCGTCTATTATACAATACTAAAGATATCACATTACGATGTTGTCGACAATCACTTCCTTCGGACGATCCGGCTTTTGAACCAGCCAAATATGCTTCCGCTACGTATGCGGAAGAAATATGTACACAAATACACGCAAGCGGTCTGTCAGCCAATCTGTTAGCCGCTGCCATGGTATGAGTATACGAATAGCTCACGTTAAATGCGACATAAACGCAGAAAATGCCAAAGTCACGCCAATGACGCGAATAGTAGATATTGAAGCTGCTCTCAAGAAATGCGTCCGTCGTAGCATACGCGCAGTATTGGCATCCACTCGTCGCATTTCCATTGGTGAGGTAGCCGCCAGAGTTCGCAATGAACCCGCCCATGTACTCTGAGCAAGTCTGTCCCGAAGGAGGTTCCACGATGACCAGCTCGGTCGAAGAACAGCGAATGCTGCTATGGCCGATAACTGCAAATCGGATCAGCAACTGCATACGGGAATCCAGCAATGACCATACCTTGGCCAAGAAGGCCTTCTATGAGATACGTAAACGGAGACACGTGGTACATCCACTGCCACCAGCCAAGCTCCCTGAACGGTTGCATGACACCATTGCTGAACGCCACGTCAGAATCGCCATCAAGACCACTGCGGAAGTAAGTACTCACAAAGAAAGGACGAAGCTGAATAAGAAGCTGAACAACAACGCGGAGATCTGTGGATTGGGGCACATTGCCGCTACCGCCTACACAGATTTGAGCACGTAGTCGATGAAGCTAGCGTAAGCGACTACTTACTTGGCCAATCGTGGTGTAATAAAGCGGGAAGACGACCCCGAGCATGAGATAAGTATATCCCGCACGCCCAGTCGGGAACTCTACGGTCCAGTACCAACACAGAAAGAACAGAGTGGTTGAAAGCACGTTCCATGGAATCTCCGCGAGAATCTGTGACGTGATCAGCGTCGTCCAACCATACATTCGGCTATGGCATTCGCGGATCTCGTAGATGCTGCGCATTTCCATGAACGGAACCTGCAACTGGTTTGCCAGAGCTGTACAGGTGATCGTAGACATAAAGATCGCCTGAAGAGAATTCAGCCACAGCACTGAAACACCAGAATATGCTACGTACGAAAAGCTTGTTCTGTGTCCCCTGGATGCTGTCTTTAGCTTTAAAGAATGTAAACCCAATGAGCAGGCCGCCCGCGATAGAGACCATAAATTTGGACATCATATATGGCAAATTGCGCCAATGGGCCTGAGTATCTCGTTGCAGCAGCAGCGTCACTTGATACCACCATGATGTGTGGTATGCACCCCGGGTGATTGCTGCCACGGGTGGACGCTTACGACCTTCGGAGTGTATGTCTCCAAGTTCGTGCGTCAGTTCCCGTGACTCCTGCGACTTCTTCCAAACATCATACCAGTCGACCTCCGAGGTCGCTGTCGCACCAGCACCGATGACGTCGAGAATATATTCAGCGCTGGACAGTCAGTGAGTAAAATACAGACAAGGAAGCACAGCAAACTGACGGATTCTCGGTAGGACCACAAGGTCGTGCTCCATGACTTTCAAAGTAGCTGATCAGAGTGGAAGACTTGTGACCTACGTCTCCAAAATACACTGTCTGACCGCCCTTGCGCAGAAGTAACAGCTTGTCAAAGATCTCGAACAACTCAGCCGACGGTTGATGGATTCTAAGCAGGAATCACGAGACTGTCAGTACCAATCTCATACGCAGAATGTCAGAAGTTCGTACGTGCACACGATCGACTGTCCGCCACTCGCAAGACTTCGCAAGAAGCACACAATGGCCCATGCACTCTGCGAGTCCAGACCCGATGTCGGCTCATCCAAGAAGATAAGCGACGGCTTCGCGACGAGCTCGACACCAATTGTCGTGCGCTTGCGTTGTTCGACGCCAAGCGATCCGACAACAGCGTCCGCATGATCTTCCAAGCCGCACATCTTCAGACACTTGTCGACGTACGCCTCCTTCTCCGCCATCGGAACGGATGCAGGCTGACGTAGCCTCGCAGAGAATAACAGAGCCTCCCGGACGGTACAATACGGAAGATGCGTATCAAGCTGTTGACAATAGCCACTACGACAGTTGCAACGCAATTAGTAACGGATCGACAGCATTGATCTTGTAAAGACCGTGACTCACGTCTGTGCATCAAAATCCTCGGGTAGAGGCTGTCCATTCATGAACCGATTACCAGTAACGATGCCACCCGCTGTACGTTCAGACAGTGCGTTCAACAACGTTGTCTTGCCGGCGCCCGATTCACCGATCAACGCAGTCAATTTACCAGGAGCTACGTATCCTGACACATTTTCAAGCAGCACGCGCCGCTCGTGGCCAACGGGAACGATATATGTGAGATTCTCGAACGAAAACGTGTCGAGCTGCCGAGCGATCTTCTTCATCTCCTGCTGCGTATCCACGTTGTCCGCATCTATTCCATGCTGTGTTGATCCGCCGTCGCTGCTACGGCTCATTTGTTTCTCTTCGTCGGCAGCAGACCCCTGTCGAACGAGATGCAGCTTTGCGCCGCGCTTATAGACCGTGACAGTAGTAGCGCCCGCTACGCCAGTGTTGACTTCGGTGAGGGTGAGAAGGATGGTGACGAACCCTACGCCGAAGACTATGATAATGCCGAAATTCTATCGTAGAAATGCATCAATCGTCATGCCCAAATCCTTCTCGAAAGAGACAACACACACCCTCCACAAGTGATCATAGTAGTACCCAAATGACTCTTCAATATACCGCATACCGTTGACGTATGCTTGGCCGGACTGTGAGCCGACGGTGGTACACACCTGGTTCGCAAGAGACACGTTCTGGTATCCGGGGCCCGACGGAACGAGTGACGCACATAGACCCTCCAGCGTGTGGAATTCATTCACCACCATCGACTCGAACCCATATTTCAACGGCTGATGAGGGTGGCCGAGGTCAGTACAGGCTGGAACCGCAGGTTATTATTTGACGTGGAACTCACATTAACGTAAGTGAGCCACCGCAGCGCACCAATCATCGATGGTTGAGGGATCGAGTAGCCGGTATAGAGTGTCAGAATAAGCACCGAGATACCCGCGACGGCTTGTGCCGGCGCTGCGCTCCGAAATGCCGCTGCGATCGCGCGGAACCACGCCTTCATCGTGATTGTCATCGAGAACACTATCAAAAGGAAGATACTGCATGTAAGCCACCGCGAGACAGCGATTATCGGTATCAGTCTGTATTCCAAACAAAGGGGGGGAACACACACAAGAATTGCCCCGCAGACTGCTGGAGGCGGACTAAGAAGTACAAGATAATGGAGAAAAGGATAAGTGTCACGGCGGTCGTAGGCACATCGACGAGGGTGAGGGCCAGTGCCTCAACAAACGGATGGTACATTGCAGCCTTGAAATGCCGCAGTACAATTGGACGCTGACTGAAAAGGGCAGCGATCTCTGCCATTGATGTCAGTGCCGCGAAGAGGAGCGCGCTGCAAGCTAGGTAAGCGCATACTTCATAACAAGCACGGACACAGAACACAGGACCGTACATGAGAACCAGCACTCACAAGAACAGAACACCTCCGCGCGAGAAGAACGTCTGCGTTGTGTCGCTCAGCTTCAGGAAAATTGTGCCCACGATCACAGCTTGGACGACGAAGAGTGCGAGCTGTATGACCTGAGTACTAATTGCACCCTTCACGATCTGCAGCCTCCGCAGCATCAGAGCACGCGCCTGCATAGGGATCGAGGTGATAAATGCGCTGCGCTGTGGCATTGTTCGCGCGTGCTCTGCCGCGCTGCTAGTACGGTATGACTCCATACGCTCCGGACTAGCCGCAACTTCCGCGCGATACGCCTTTATGTCGTCCTTGTTCAAGCTTCCGAACTCGCTCTCCCTAAAGCATTGTGCAAAATCATCTGGTGTGCGTGGGGCGCGAAAGTGGTAGCCTGGACGCACGCGTCGCCATGCGGGATCGGTGATGGCGACTAGGAAGTCGGCCGTGGTCTGTCGGTTCGCAGGGCTAAAGCCAAGATCATTGAAGTACTGTCGAGCGCGGTTCGCGGGTCCAAAGTATATCATTTTGCCAGAGTGAATGACGCAGACCTTGTCGAACAGCTCGTAGAGCGACTCGCCGGCTTGGTATATAGAAACGATGGATGTCATGTGAGCGATATCAGTCGCGAGCCGGAGGGCGCGTACAAATTCAAGGGCGGTAGAGGCACTATGAGCGGTATCTCAGTGACGAGAGTCAGATGCTGGGGATGTGCAGACTCACTCAAGCCCTCGCGTGGAACTGAAAGAGGAAATGAACGTTTCAGCAAGCGACACAAATGACTGAAAGGCATCACGCACTTGTCCCACGATGTCAACAAGCTCCTGGTCGCGAGCACCTCGCTTATCGACACCCGCTTCTTCTCTCCACCACTCACTCCTCGAACGCTCGCATCGCCAACAAGCGTGTTCTCCACATGTTTGAGCCCAAATACGGTCAACAGCACGTCGATCAGTGCGAGACGGTGCTGTGCGCGGGAACCTTCGATGCGATTATGCGGCGTGCGTGTTTTGGCGGCGAAGTCGAGCGTCTCGCGCACGGTTAGGGTGGGAAAGTGCACGTCATCTTCGGGCACGTACTGAACGTCGCCGCGATAATGTGCGTGGACGTCCTTTGGCGTGAACGCATCGTAACGCACGTCACCGTATACGGCGTGGAATTCCTCCCGCTGGTTGGCGAGCACCTTAAGAAGCGTACTACAACCTGCGCCTGGGCAACCGAGCACCACTGTGGACTGAGCATGAGGCGTGAGCTGGAAATCGCCAGTTTGGATGGACTTACGCAGCATCTCTCCCGGACGCACACATCCCTCAAACCCGCTGAGGATATCTCGTACAGGAGGGTGGCGTAGCTCTCTAAACTTGTCGACCAACTGGAGGGGATTGAGCACAGACCCGAGCGTCTGCTGGTATGTCATGGACGCGCCCAGGCCGACGACCCGCAGGTCTTCAAATATGACGCCAAGTTGTCTCATTACGATATCTGCCTGATCAAGCCTGAATAACGGTGAGGACTGGAAATCAGGTAAACATAATGCGAAGGGTACCTCTGAACGATAGTTTTAAGGGTCTTCTCCATATCAAAAGGGACATCATTGGGCACAAGAGTAAAGTCGGAGGTCGTCTCCGAATGAGCTCGGAGGGTGCGCAAAAAGCGAGAAAGATGGCGATTGCGAGGCAGTCTCGCAACTTTGTCGTGTTCGCCCTGCGTGGCTGGTAAACATGCTCGAGACAGTCTATGTCGTAGCTCCCGCACACCCAAGGGGTCGAAGAAGTGTACGCTGACACGCCTCGCACGGGTGCATGGCCGAGTGAGCGGCTCAGCTAAGTCGGTCGATGGTTGCTCACTGTGGGTTTCAGAAGTCGGATTTGGTGACGCCGAAATGTCAGGGGCATGGTCGTGCTCTTCGCCACTATCGGCTTGCGGATAAACATCCATAGTGGGAGCTCCTGCTAAAAAGTGGGGAATGTAACAAGGGTATTTGGTTGGAAATGCGGGGCACCATTCTTATATGCCGCTCAACGGAGGGAGCAGCTGAGGCGCGAAGCGCGGAAGTGAGTGCGGCCAGTCGTGCTCGGGACCTGGCTGCATTGTGCGCAGTGACGTGCAAGCGCCAGCACGCCTGGGCCGTCGGGGCGGGTGACGCGTGCGAAATCACGTAGATACCCCCTGCCCCTGTCGAGGCCGGAACGGGTGTACCGATGACTCATATCTGCTGATGAGCGCGTCACTACGATAGATACATGCAAAGCGATATGCATACCAGTTGGTGTGGGGAGATACACCAGATGACTCCACACTACGTTATACTCCTTTGCAGTTATTCAAGATCCGGGGCCGTGTATGCGGAGGACGTCAGCACGACACTCGACAGCACTAGAGATATACCGTATCTCGTTCAACAACGGAAGGCCACGCCGGTGGTTGCATGCAGGACGACGAGGAGGGAAGGAAGGGGGGCTTTGTTTGAATCCGTCGCGAGAGAGTGCCTTTTATGATGGGGAAGAAGTGGAGATGCGCGTTTCACAGGAACGAAAGCAACGAAGCGCTGGATGTGACAATCGAGTGTGAGTCTGGAAAAGGGAACCCTTCTGCCATGTATGGTAGGAGAAAGCGGTCACTGCGTCAGACAGACGTCATATCTGCAGCTTCTCGTTGCCGGAGGTTCCATGGCCTAGGGGATCCGTCTTGCACATGACGTCATCCGCTGTGCGCGAATATCTGATGGGGTAAACTCCTTTGTTAGGTGAGATGACAGCCAACCGCAGAAATTGCATCTCGCGCCAGTCCGTCGTCCCATCTTTCGGTGCCTAGCTTCTTCAGCGAACAGGCAGAGCCGAAATCAGTAGTAGAACGGCATATATGATACTGCTGCAACGGGCCGCGGCAGCAAATGGAGATGCGTCGATAAATAAAATGGGCGCTTCGATACCGGAGAAAGCCGAATCTAACCTGCTGGGTGCCCGGGATTGGTGGCCACACCTTCAACGGATCGCAGGCAATTTCCATTCTTAGCACCCCACTGGCCACGTGCGGCTTGCACTTCAAAAAATAGCTGTAGGAATCGGGCTCTATCCAGATTGGGAAGGCACGCGTGCCAGATGTATAGCCTGTACATGAACTCTGTCACCTTGCAATGGGCGCGCTTTTGCTGCTCAAAAAGGTTTGCCGGGGCCGAAATAAATTCACAGCTAGAGAAGAACACCACAATCATTCTGCGCATCGTCAATGAAATAGTTTTACAAGTCATACTCATCCGGAAAGACCGCCGCTGACACTGGCTGGTGCCCATCCTCCTCCCACTTCCT